GCCATTCAAAGCTGCAAGGGCATTGAAAAAAGTGACTTATGGCCGTGTTTCACACTTATGACCGTTGCAGCACCCCCATGGTTACACGATCAAAAGTTGGAGGCTTGGCAACTGACTCGTATTTATGACGGTTGCGGTGTCCCGCGGGGACTCTGCAATCTCCTTCTAACCCGCAAAGCCAATGGAGGAGCCAGATTCACTTAACAACCAGGTCACTAACTGAAGAACTGCAGGGATTCACTTAGTAACTGTGCCAAGAATGGTCGCAAAAGGGAGCAAAACTCACTTAACGAATATCTCGTTCAGCAACATAAATCTGGGGCTTAATTGTGGTCGTACATCGAGGGCTACGATTGTCAATGGGGAAGCCAGATTCAGTTTACAACTATGTTACTAACTTAGTATTTATAGTAAGTTAATTACTATAGTAAGTTAGTAACAAATACTAATTTGTTTTTATAGCATTTATAGAGCAAATACTCTATAATTAGTATTTATAGAGCAAAATATCTCTTTTTTCCCCCCTTCCCCACCCCTTCTGAACCAGCCCCACAATCTTGGCCTCGGAGTTCAAAGGAAAGTTAAGAGAATTTGGATTTCAAGGCCTGCGAGACGAAGGGGAAAAACCGCACCGTTTGAACAATTCACTGTGATCAATAGGCCACATTGTTCCTCCCACTCCGTCTCTTTCCTTTGTGCGAGTCAGTGCCATATTGTTCCTACAACGGCTCATGGAAAGCATGATGGGTCTGAGGGGCCGATCAGATATCTCTGGAAACAAATAGCCAGGATGCTCAACACACCGTACTCACAAGCCAGCCGCACCGACATAAACCACTGCAGCGTCACACGGACGCGTTTTGTCAAGGGGAGGCCCTTCTAACTCACGGGGGGGGGGTATGTGTTCCCAATCGATCACGATCAAATCCGATTCAATCGAAGATCCCTCTGCTAAGCGGAAAAACCAAAGGGATCCATGCAGAAAAGGGGAAAAAAGGAGGACGCGTAATTTGTCAGGAATAGTATAGGTCTAGTATAGTATTAGTATTAGTATGGTATATAGTATAGTATTAGTATTCGTATCAGTATTAGTATAGATTAGTATTAGTATAGTATTAGTATATAGTATAGTATAAGTATAGTATAGATTAGTATTAGTATTAAGGTATAGCATAAGTATAGTATCTAGTATAGTAGTATCTTGTATAGTAGTATCTAGTATAGTATAGTATCTAGTATAGTATTGGTATTAGTATTGGTATTAGTATTGGTATTAGTATTAGTATCACTATTAGTATAGATTAATATTAGTATTAGTATTGGTATATAGTATACTATAAGTATAGTATAGTATAGATCAGTATTAGTATTAATATATAGTATTATATATAATATATAATATTATACTATATTATATACTATATATATATATATATATAATTATATATATTATATATATAATATATATATATATAGTTGTTTTCTCAGGTTTTCGCGGGTGTTTGTATGTAGGTCTTTGGCTATTCGGGTCTTCTCCCACGTAAAATTGGAAGTGTCTTGGCGACGTTTCGACGAAGTCTCATTCGTCATCTTCAGGCTGGTGTTCTCGGCTTCGTGCTTCCAGGAGCAAATTTAACCAAAGACCTATATATATATATAGTATATATATAATATATATACTATATAATTTATAGTATAGTATAAGTATAGTATCTAGTATAGTAAGTATAGTAAGTATAGTATTAGTATTGATTACTAATAGTATTAGTATAGATTAGTATAAGTATAGTATTAGTACATAGTATAAGTGTAGTATAGATTAGTATTAGTATAGAATATAAGTATAGAGTATAATATAGAGTATAGTATAGTATTAGTATAGTATAATATTGGTATTAGTATTAGTATTAGTATCAGTATAGATTAGTATTAGTATTAATATATAGTATAAGTATAGTACCTAGTATAGTATCTAGTATAGTAAGTATAGTATTGGTATTAGTATTGGTATTGATATTAGTAATAGTATTAGTATAGATTAGTATAAGTATAGCATTAGTATATAGTATAGTATAAGTGTAGTATAGATTAGTATTAGTATTAGTATATAGTATAAGTATAGAGTATAATACAGAGTATGGTATAGTATTAGCATAGTATTAGTATTAGTATCAGTATAGATTAGTATTAGTATTAATATATAGTATAATATAAGTATAGTATCTAGTATAGTATAGTATTAGTATAGTATTGGCATTGGTATTAGTATAGCAGGAGGTTGGACTAGATGACCTCCAAGGCCCCTTCCAACTCCATTACTGTTTAATCCCTGGCAACTTGACCTGCGGACTTCAACTCCCAGAATTCCCCAGCTGGCATGCATTTGCTTAAGGACCCCACGATTCAGTTAACAAGCAGTGATTTGAGCTACGAATACTCTCTTCTTAGCGATATCTATTTATCTGCGAAACACATTTGACGCACCAAATATTCCCGCCAGCTGCTTGTTTAGCGGCTTCCAACCGCCACACGAGTTTACGTGGCCTTTAATCCTCAGAGAAGGCAGAGTCCACAGTCATTGAGCAATATCAAGCCGACGGCATTATTTATCAAGAAATACATCTTTTTATTATTATTATTATCCCAATCATTAGCCATTGCCTAGCAACCCCGGGCCTGCTAAATCCAAGTGGAAAGATGGAACCTGACACGATGCATTTTATCATCTTTCGACATATTCATCCTTTTGCAACTCCCGGAGTAATGCAATGTCACTCTAGAGGTTACGGCTGTCACTCACCAAAATCATTCTTCGTTTGACTTGCTGTAAAGACACTAATAATCCCCTCATTTTCGCTGAAGCAAACTAATAGCAGGAACCTTTCAAAAGAGTTTACCCTAATTTTATGAAATGGACCGTTTCTGCTTGAACGCGCCCTCTGGAGATCGTTTGAGGATATCTATTTTAATACCAGTAGTAGAGGGTGTGTAATCTTGCCACCTCTAGGTCTTCATCTACTGAAACAGATTGACCAAAGTATGTAATACAGATAGTCCTTGACTTTACATTCACTTAGTGATTTAAGAATTACTTAAGTGAGATTTACTAAAGAAAGATTTACTAAAGATTTACTAAAGATTTACTTAAGACTTACAACGGAACTGAAAAAAGTGACTTGCGACCGTTATTCGCACTTACGACCATTGCAGCATCCCCCCGCTCACGTAATTAAAATTCAGATTCTTGGAAACTGATTTCGTATTTATGACGGTCGTAGTGTCCCGGGGTCGCGCAGTCCTCATTTGCGGACAAGCAATGTCGACGGGGAAGCCAGATTCACTTAACAACCGGGTTACCGACTTTACAACTGCAGTGGTTCACTTAGCCATGGAGGCACGAAAGGCTCTTAAAATGGGGCAAGACTCACCTAACGACAGAAATTTTGGGTTCGATTGGGGCCGTAAATCGAGGACTACCTAAATTGTTTCTTCCAAATTGCGCGGATTCCTGATAATCCGACGATGCTGATAGGCTTAATATCTGTTTTTCCTAACGTTTTACATATATTTCTGTCGTAAAGACAGGCAGCCCACAATGCTTCGTCCGTTACAATTCCCTTAAGTGCAATTCTTCAGGGATTGGATGTGAAAACATTTCCTTGGGGCTCCTAAGTAAAATAATCTGGAAGCCGATTTTTGTTTCAAGTCTTGCCAAAACGCATTGGGCTTCCTTAAGAATAATACATTTTTAATCGGCCAAGTGAATTTTAAATTACTTCTTTCCAGGTTGAATCTCTCCTTGATCTGTTTCCATCCATTCTTCCTTATCCGGTCTTCAGGGGTTTTGGTGAATAGGTTGACCCCCTCCTCTCTGTGGCAGCCCCTCAAATACTGGAAGACTGCTACCCTGTCTCCCCGAAAGTAAGACATCCCCTGATAATAAGCCCAATCGGGCTTTTGAGTGCATGCGCTAAAATAAGCCTCCCCCCCCCCGAAAATATTTAAACGCAGAGCTGGAAATCAGGTAAGATGGCAAGAGGAGCCCCGTCTTGCTCCACGCGCCCCAAAATAATAAGACCTCCCCGAAAATAAGGCCAAGCGCTAATTTTGGGGTTCAAAAAAAATATAAGACAGGGTCTTATTTTCGGGGAAACACGGTATCATGTCTCCCCGGTCCTTCTCATTCTCCTTCTTTTCCCTTCTTCTTCCTTCCTTCCTGTCTTCTCCTTCTTCCTCCTCTTCCTCTTATTGTTTTTACCATGGCTGTTCACTGCCCTGAGTCCCTCGGGAGAAGGGCGGTATATAAATATAATAAACTAACTAACTAACTAACTAACTAACTGATGCAAAGATCCCTTGCATGCCAACTCTTCTACTTCCAAAATCTGGCCTCAAAATCCATATTTTCCATGAAATCCTTAGCTTCACTGCCAATCTTTGGGACGCCTTACTCAAAGTCAGTCGTAAGCAGGCTATGCCCTGGTCAGTTTGAGGGGAAAACGATAGTGTTAAAGCTGGGCAGGATTTGTAGCTTCTAAGAGAAATGCAAGGCAGGATATGGAAGAATCCATGTGTTGAATAGCAGATGATTTTATGCAGGGGAAAGAATGCATGGGGAGAGAAACACTGAAGCCAGTTTTTGTAAGAAAGTTTTTTGAGGAGGAGGCTTATAGGAAGGAAAATAAAGAATCTGTCGACATCTATAGAGTGCCTGTGCTTATTATGGAGGAAGGGAAGAATCTGAACTGCCCAGGACAAAATCAGGGGAGAAAATGAACTGGGATGAAGGGATAGAAATCTTGAGAATATTAGTCTAGCCAGCAGAAGGCATATTACATAGACATATGCAAAGTGATACTTTCAGACAAGGAAGGAAGGCAAAAGTGTTATGCTAACTACTGTATATCTGCACTGACTGACCCCATATTTATTTGTTATTTCAATGTATTCATCCTTCGATTGCACATTCATAAATAACAGAAAGGCCAGGCTGACTTTCCCTTCCTCGCCCTCTCCCTTTCTTGTCTTTTCAGATGCTGAACAAAGTGAGTAGGGGGTCTGCTAGAGAGAGAGAAAGAGAGAAAGAGACGCCTCTTCGCCAGGCTGGGCGTTTCCACGCTCGCATTGCACCTGTTTTAATTCTTTCTCCCCCTCCCCACTCTTGCAAACGGTGGGAGGAGGGGGTTAGGGTCCGCAGGGCCCCCTCCCCTCCCTTGCCCTGTTGGAAGCGGGTGGGGGGCGCAGGGACAGACATTGGGGGGGGGTGAAAGAAGAGGTGGGGAGGGTCTCCTTTCAAAGCCAAGAGAGGCTGCTTCTCCAAGGCTGGGCAGGAGGGGGCGCTGCGGACCGCGGGTTTGTGCTGTGTCACGCCAAAAAGAAGGGCTGGGTCCTGGGTGGGGAGGGGCTGCTTGGAGGGGAGGGGAAGGAGAGGGGGAGGATTGCCAGACTAGGATCTTATACATCCCCTCCCTCTCCTTACTGTGGTAGTGGTCCTGCTGCTTGCCATTGGGCCCTTCCCGACATCTCCATCAACATCTGGGAAGTGCGAGCATCTTTTTATCTGTTCTGGGTACCGCTCCATCATCTTGGAAGCTCACCCGCAACGGTGACCGTGTGCAAACACACCCTTTTCTCCTCCCGGTTGCTGATGCAAACACAATTCTTTAGGGATAAAACTTCCTATTTGTTCCAAATTGCATCTGGAAAAAAGGGACCGTTTTTTTTTTGGCTTCTCTTTTAATTTGGGATTATTTCGTCTTCTTCACATCCCTACTTCAAAGGGAATGTTTGGAGCGGAATTGAAGGTTATCCCATTTTCCTTCCTGGCTCTCTTAATTCGTGCATGAGGAGCAGAATTGCTAAATTTACACTTAAAAGCCAGAGGTGGGTTCTTTAGGTCCCTGCGGACTGCAACTCCCAGAATTCCTGAGCCAGCCATGCTGGCTCAGGAATTCTGGGAGTTGAAGTCCACAGGAAGTCGATGGTTACCCGCACCTGTTTAAGGCAGGTGAGCTTAAAAGCCCAATAGCTTGAACAGAGCAGGGTATCCTGTAAAAGGTGAGTCATCTACCTGATTGCTGATTCTTCGTCATTCCCACATCTGGGTTTGTTTTATTTAGTTAATGACCCGTGGCACGAAATGGAAACCACAGGATCACAGAGAGAGAACATAAGTTTCATTACTATATTTTCTCTTATTTTCCCTTAAATTAGATCCTGCGGTTTTTGTGTGTGTGTTTTATTGATTACAGTAGTAGGAACAATCAAGCTTCCTATCTACCCCTGGGGTTTGAATGAGAAATTTTGTTCCTTTCTTATTTATTTGCCAGAAGAAACAGGCCTCGGATGTGCCGAATGGGATGGCTGTGTTAAAATCTAGTAAATACCGTAGATTTCATTTTGCTAGAATCGGGTAAACCCCAATGTAGAATATGAGGATGCTGCCAGCTTGCACCCAGAACAAGATTCAAGTTTTGCTCCCGAGACTGTGTTGTTACTTACCATTTTAGCCATTGTCTATCCCTGTGATACGGACGTGGTGGCTCAGGGGCTAAGACGCTGAGCTTGTCGATGGAAAGGTTGGCAGTTCAGCGGTTCAAATCCCTAGTCCCGCTTAACGGGGTGAGCTCCTGTTACTTGTCCCAGCTTCTGCCAACCTAGCAGTTCGAAAGCCGGTAAAAAATGCAAGTAGAAAAAATAGGGACCACCTTTGGTGGGAAGGTAACAGCGTTCCGTGCGCCTTTGGCGTTGAGTCATGCCGGCCACATGACCACGGAGACGTCTTCGGACAGCGCTGGCTCTTCGGCTTTGAAAGGGAGATGAGCACCGCCCCCTAGAGTCAGGAACGACTAGCACATATGTGCGAGGGGAACCTTTACCTTTACCTATCCCCGTGATGATGAATCTATGGCACGCGTGCCGGAAGTGGCATGCAGAGTCCATCTGTCCGGGCGTGCAAGCCGTCAGCCATTGCTCTTCCGGGTTCCAGCGCACCGACCAGCTGCTCTTCACGCACGTGGGAGACTCAGAAACCTGAAGGTCAGGTTGCCAGTGCACATGCGCGCACTGGGGACCGGAAGATAATCTTCCCAGTACGCACATGTGCAGCAGGTAGGCTGGTCTTCCGGTTTTTGGCACTCAGTGCTGAAAAGGTTCACCAACAACCTATTCGGTCCTAAGCTTTCTATTGCCTATTTCTTTATGATCATGTATTACTTATACGTGGAAATAAAACGGGGGAACGTTTTCATTTTTAGTTTTATTAAATTGGAAGTGTTTACTGATCTGTCGCCGGATTCAGATTTACCCCCTGCTCATTAAATTCTATTTAATTAGTTTTAAATAATTATTTTAACTTTTGTACAAATGTTTTTATTTTGGCTGTTCACCGCCCTGAGTCCGAAAGGAGAAGGGCAGTATACAAATTTAATTTAAATTATTATTATTATTATTATTATTATTATTATTATTATTATTATTATTACTGGAGTAAACCCAAAATTAATAATTAAATCCCCGCTTTGAACCCAGAGCATAGAAACGCTTGTGGCTCAGCTGACCAAAATAACAATTGCTGGTTCGTGGCGTGTTCAGACCACGACTCGCCGGCGGTTGTGAGATACCCAGTATTGTGTGTGCTTCCCTTGATTGTGTAGATACTCTGTCGTCTAGGAGTTGCCCCCGGATGGCAATTTGTGGATGTGCTGGGATTGGATGAAGATATATTGAGCGCTGTGCCAAGTCCGGCTTGCGCGCTGCTTCTGCTGTTTCCCCTTACTGCTCAGGTGAGTATTAAAGCTGAATAAAGGTTAAACGGGGACTCGGTGGCTAAGACGCTGAGCTTGTCGATCGAAAGGTCGGCTGTTCAGCGGTTCGAATCCCTAGTAGTGCCGCTTAACGGGGTGAGCTCCCATTACTTGTCCCAGCTTCTGCCAACCTAGCAGTTCGAAAGCACGTAAAAAATGCAAGTAGAAAAATAGGGACCCCCTTTGGTGGGAAGGGAACAGCGTTCCGTGCGCCTTTGGTGTTTAGTCATGCCGGCCACATGACCACGGAGACGTCTTCGGACAGCGCTGGCTCTTCGGCTTTGAAACGAAGATGAGCGCCGCCCCCTAGAGTCGGGAACGACTAGCACATATGTGCGAGGGGAACTTTTACCTTTACCTTAAACGAAAAACAAAGCACCTTCCATCTCTTTTATTGCAGGGGGGTCTCCCACCGTGGTGGCAGCTTTACGACTTGGGGACTTCAACTCCCAGAATTCCTCAGCATGGTTTAGCTGAGGAATCCTGGGAGTTGAAGTCCACAAAGTCGTAACGTTGCCAAGGATGGAGAGACCCTTGCCTCATTTTACAATCCTTTGCAATACCGTTGGAATATAATTTACTAATCTAAAGTACAGATCTACCCTTGAAGTAGATTTGTACTTTTAATGTCGTGCAAAGGAATTTTTGCAAAACTGCCTTGGGGGATCTTGACCGAAACAATTCACTGGGTTGAACCTGGATAGCAAATTTACAGTAAATACTCTGGGGAACGGCTGTTGTTTGCTGATAATATCCATGGAAATTTGCTTAGAAGCCAGAATTAACGACTATTTTCACCCTGGAATGTATTAATTTCAAAAGAAAGACCCTATTTTTGAGCATTAAAACAATATTGGCATTTGTATACAGGTGTCCTTGACTTACAATTCAGTCTGAAATTTTCCGTTGTTAAGCAAGATAGTTAAGTGAGTTTTGTCCCTATTTTAGAACCCACCACAGCTGTTAAGTGAACACAGCGGTTGCAAAGTGAGTAACACCGTTATTAAGTGAATCTGGCTTCCCCAGTTGAGTTTGCTTATCAGAAGGTCGCAATAAAGGATCCCGTGACCCCAGGGACACTGCAACGGTCATAAATATGAGTCGGTGGCCAAGCCTCTGTATTTTGACCATGTGATGGCGCAACGGTCGTAAGTGTGAAAAATGGTTGCAAGTCACTTTTTTCGGTGCTGTTGTAACTTGGAACAGTCACTAAACGAATGGCTGTAAATCACGGGGCCACATAATCCCATTGTGCAACCTTCTGATAAGCAAAGTCGACGAAGCCAGATTCACTGAACAGCGGTGTTCCTCGACTTACGACCACAATTGAGCCCAACATTTCTGTCATGAAGAGACGCTTGTTAAAAGAACGTTGCCCCATGTTACGACTTTTCTTGCCTTTTGTTGTTAAGTGAAACACTGCCGTTGGATAACTCGCGAGCCGGTTGTTAACGTGAATCTGTCTTCCCCAATGACAAATGCCGTGAATTTGCTCTTAAATTGTAGCATGAAAACTTCCGGAAAAAGCAAATTGACGAACTGAAGGGCCAAGAAGTGAGTTCAGAAGTCTACTTTGTGAAGCAGACGGCGAGTAACTCCTGTGGAACCATTGGCCTTATCCACGCCGTAGCTAATAACCAAGATAAAATTCGATTCGGTAAGTACCAGTATCTAGATCCGTTCCAGTCGGGTTTCAGGTCTGGGCACAGCACAGAAACGGCATTGGTCGCGTTGGTTGATGATCTCTGGAGGGCTCGGGACAGGGGTTGTTCCTCTGTTCTGGTCCTGTTAGACCTCTCAGCGGCTTTTGATACCATCGACCATGGTATCATGCTGCACCGGCTGGAAGAGTTGGGGGTGGGAGGCACCGTGTTGCGGTGGTTCTCCTCCTTTCTCTCCGACCGGTCGCAGTTTGTGTTGGCAGGGGGGCAGAGGTCGACCTCGAGGCCTCTCATTTGTGGAGTGCCGCAGGGATCGGTCCTCTCGCCCCTTCTGTTCAACATTTATGTGAAGCCGCTGGGTGAGATCATCCGTGGCTTTGGGGTGAGATACCACCAGTACGCTGATGACACCCAGCTGTACATCTCCACCCCAGGCCACCCCAACGATGCCCTTGAAGTGATGTCCCAGTGCCTGGAGGCTGTACGGGTCTGGATGGGGAGGAACAGGCTCAAGCTCAACCCTTCCAAGACTGAGTGGCTGTGGCTCCCGGCATCCCGATATAGTCAGTTGACTCCATCACTGACTATTGGGGGCGAGTCATTGGCCCCCACAGAGAGGGCTCGCAATCTGGGAGTCCTCCTGGATATGCAGCTGTCCTTGGAGGAACATCTGACGGCTGTAACCAGGGGGACCTTTTGTCAGGTTCGCCTGATTCGCCAGTTGCGGCCCTTTCTTGATCGGGATTCCCTGTGCACAGTCACTCATGCCCTCGTCACCTCTCGCCTTGACTACTGCAACGCTCTCTACATGGGGCTCCCCTTGAGGAGCACCCGGAGGCTCCAACTGGTCCAGAACGCAGCAGCGCGGGTAGTGACGGGAGCAGCATGGCGCTCCCATGTAACACCGCTCCTGCGCGAGCTGCACTGGCTCCCAGTTGTCTTCCGGGTGCGCTTCAAGGTGTTGGTTATCACCTTTAAAGCGCTCCATGGCATAGGGCCTAGCTATCTGCGAGACCGCCTGCTGCTACCGACGACCTCCCAGCGACCCGTGCGCTCCCACAGAGAGGGCCTCCTCGGGGTGCCATCAGCCAAACAATGCAGGCTGGTGACCCCCAGGGGGAGGGCCTTCTCTGTGGGGGCACCCACCCTCTGGAATCAGCTCCCCCCAGAGATAAGGAGAATCCAAGACCTCAGTGCCTTCCGTCGCGCCCTTAAAACCCATTTATTTAAACAAGCCGGGCTGGCTTAAGATGAAATTTTTAACTGTTTTTAAATGTTTTAAACGTTTTTAATTGGTAAATGAGTTTTAATTGGGCCAAATTTATATATCTTTTAATTGTTTTTAATATTTGTTCTGCATGTTTTTTTTAATCTGGCTGTACACCGCCCTGAGTCCTTAGGGAGAAGGGCGGTATAGAAATCCAATATAAAATAAATAAAAATAAAATTTTCCAGTGGATATCAAATCTTGTGGACTTTACTGTACCCTAAATTGTCGGTTTATTTTTATTTATTTATTTATTTGAATTTGTATACCGCCCTTCTCCCCCTAGGGACTCAGGGCGGTGAACAGCCGAAATTAAAATACATACAATATAAAAGTGAAGATAGCTAAAATAAATCAAATCAATCGGCCCCCAATTTAAAACCCCAAAGCTATACAATTAAAACTATACAATTAAAGCTATACAATTAAAAACTACTTTTTAACTACAATTAAAAACTACTACTTTTGTAGTAGTTGATGATGTGGACTTAGCTTCAGGGAAACATAAAATATTTTCCGAGCCACTAGGAATTGAGGGAGTAGTCAAAACTTACAGAGGATGTGGTATAAATTTCCTTTCAGGCCTTCCGGGCCCACCGGAAGTCGGGAAACCGGCTGTTTCTGGCCTCCAGAGGGCTTCTAGGGGTGTTGGGAAGGCCCGTTTTTCGTTCTCCCCAGGCTCCAGGAGCTTTCTAGGAACCTGCGGAAGGCGAAAAACGGGCCTACCGGTCCCACTTCCATCGCGTGCCAAAAGCAGGGGGAGCATGGGGGTGTTGTGTGCGTATGCGCGGGGGGTGGAGCGCATTAAATTATGGGGGTGACCACAGGAATGTGCGACCCCCCCCTGCCTCGCTCTCCCCCCACTTTTGGCATGCAACGGCAAAAAGGTTAGCCATCACCATTCTAGGCTTTAAAATACTCGTAGTGTTAATCCTGTAGAATTGAATGTGCCAAGCTTGCAGATGTAGCTGGTGGAATCAGTTGCTACTGTAGTATTAGTAGTACCGGTAGTAATATTATAGTACTATAGTTTTCCAATATCTAAGAGGTTTCCACAAAGAAGAGGGAGTCAAGCTATTCTCCAAAGCGCCTGAAGGCAGGACGAGAAGCAACGGATGGAAACTCATCAAGGAGAGAAGCAACCTAGAACTAAGGAGAAATTTCCTGACAATTAGAACAATTAACCAGTGGAACCACTTGCCTCTAGAAGTTGTGAATGCTCCAACACTGGAAGTTTTTAAGAAGAGGTTGGATAACCTTTGGTCTGAAGTGGTGTAGGGCCATGATGGCGAGCCTATGACATGGGTGCCAGAAGTGGCACGCCAAGCCATCTCACCAGGCACCCCAGCCATCGGCAGTTGCTTTTCCGAGTTCCGGCGCGCCAGCCAGCTGGTCTTCACACACGCGGGAGCACTGGAAACTAGAAGAGCAGCTCCCTGGTGCGCATGCACACGCCAGGAAGCTGAGCTTCTGGTTTCCAGCATGTGCATGCCAGATGGGCTTCACGCACCATGCGTGCCAGAAACCGGAAGTCCAGGTGGGAAACCGGAAGCTCAGCTTCCCGGTGCACGTCTGCACGCCAGGGAACTGCTCGTCCGGTTTCCGGCGCTCCCGTACATGCGCACCGGGGAGCTACTCTTCTGGTTTTCAGCACTCTCACACGCACGCACGCTCCCATTTCGGCACTTGGTGCCGAAAAGGTTCGCCAACACTGCTGTAGGGTTAGGGCTAGGACCTGAGCACAGGGTGGGCCTAGAACAGTGATGGCTAATCTTTTTGCCATCACGTGCCGGGAAGGGGGGGCAGGGGAGGTTCGCGCGCACGCGTGCCCACACCCATAATTCTACGCATGTGCGCGTGACCTCCCCAGCCCCCCGCCCTTCCCCGCTCTTGGCACGTGAAGGCCCGTTTTTCTTTCTCACCTGGCTCCAGATCCTCTCTATGCATCTGGGGAGGGCGAAAACAGCCTTCCCCACCTCCTCGGAGGCCCAAAATGGCCCATTTCCCAACTTCCAGTTGAATAGGAAGTGATGTTTTTTGCTGTCCCCAGCCTCCAGAGACTCCCGGAGCTAAGCTGGTATGCCAGGCGACATGGCTCCAAGTGCCACCTGTGCCACGCGTGCTATAGATTTGCCATCACGGGCCTAGAAGGACTTCCAAGGTCCCTTCTAACTCTATTGTTCTGTATTCTATTCTGTGCTTCTTTATTAACCCCGTACAACGCCCTCCCTTTTTAATGTCACTTTTTCCAGACGAAGGATCTGCATTAAAAGAGTTCCTCACTGCGACAGCTGGGCTCTCCCCAGGCGAGAGGGCAAAACGTCTTGAGAACAACAAGGTAAAGGATGTGGGCAACTTTGATAATTTTTTTTTATTTTCTGCAAGGTTGTTCAAGGTACTCGTAGAGGCTTTAAGCGTGTGTTCAGAAACGTGATCCGTTTTCCTAACGATTCCAGCTTCCTGTTTCAACTATCAATAGGAACACACGGACTTCATAAACTGGAACTTGCAAAGAAGTCGATTACAACTGTTAAGGATATTCTTGGCTCATAACCAATGTTGTGGATTATTGAGCAGAGTACCCTTTGAGTAAACACATGAAAAGCGACACGGAGTGGTTGTGAACAATCACAGTCAACATACAAACACACTGAATTGTCGTAGTCCTTTAGTTTTAGAAAAAGTAAAGCAAAGTCCCAAAAACAATCCAAGTCATACCCAGATAAGACGAGAGTTAAAAGATCAATCCAGGGATGTTTCAAGTACAAAGTCTTCTTACCAGTTGTAGTCATACACGATAAAACAGTTCTTCTTAAGTTTCAAAACAGGAACAGGTTCAGTATCAAAACATTCAATAAACAGTAGAAAGCAACATGTAGCTATGATCAAACAGTGATCATGCAGAGAGATCAGGTAGAGAGTTACAGCAAATAAGCAGGCAAAATGGTGTAGTGTCCACACAAGCCATAATCCTGACTTCCCTTAAGTACATTGGCTACAGAGCTTAGCCAATCAGGATACAAGATGATACAATACAGTCTTAAAGCAATATAATACCTTTCTGACTGCAAACATCCATTGTTGGTTTATATATTGCCTGACCAACTAGTTAGACAACCATTTCCTAACAACAACTATAGAAATGTTGTGTTTGTGTGTGCCTTTGCTCTCCCTTTATGGGAGGAGCCAATCATCTCCAGGCCTTACTCCTGAGTCGTCCCTTTAGTTTCAACTGTTCTTGCCTTCTGGCAGCTCTGCGCATGCGTGCACTAGGAACAGGCTCCTCCTGTTCCTCTGCCTCTCTTACGTCCGACTCTGGAGGCTCCGGAGTCCGCGTATAACTCCCAGATGGCCCTGGTCCCATCTCTGCCTCCGATGCAGAATTCTCATCCGAGCCTTCCCCAGACTCCAGGACTGGCCCATCTTCCTCCCCAACCTCCTCACTGTCCGACTCCGCTGCCAGCTCTGCTGGCGGACCACAACAGACGTAACCTGAAGACTTATCTATACATTACGATTTTTCCCCTTGAAGGGTTTCATTCAGAATTCACTCAAAACTTGGTCAGTAACGCTTGTTGAACAAGGCAGTAGATCACAGGTGTCCAACCTTGGCCTCCTTTGAGACTTGTGGACTTCAACTCCCAGAATTCTCCAGCCAGACAGGAATTCTGGGAGTTGAAGTTCAGGGGTCTTAAAATGGCCGACTTTGGATACCCCTAGTATAGACGGAACAGATTGGCAGGAATGGGAATATAGCGGATTTAGATAAAATCATCATCCTGCTGTTCGGCAGCAAAGGAGCCTTGGTAGTACAGTGGTCTAAAGTACCCTGTTATTAAGACCAGCTGCCTGCAATTACTGCAGGTTCGAATCTTGCCAGGCTCAAGGATGACTCTGCCTTCCATCCTTTCTAAGGTAGGTAAATTGAGGACCCAGTTGTGGGGGCAATAAGCTGACTTTGTATAAATATACAAAAGGATGAAGACTATTGCTTAACGCATTGTAAGCCGCCCTGAGTCTCCGGAGAAGGGCGGCATATAAATCAAATTAAAAAAAAAAATTGGTGAGCCAATTATTTAATTGTATTTTAACGGTTAAAATTGTATTTTAACGGTTTTTTAACATTTGTATTATATGTATTTTATTTGGCTGTTCACTGCCCTGAGTCCTTCGGGAGTAGGGCGGTATACAAATTTAATAAATAAATAAACAAAAACACATTTTTCTGATTTTTTTCTCTCTTCCCAGGCCATTCAAGAAGTCCATAATGCAGTAGCTCAAGAGGGCCAGTGTCGGGTAAATGCTGCTTTCATTTATAGGTTTTCAACAATAGAATGGGCCAAGAACTGATGTTTCAACCCTGAGAGGTTGTTGTTAACAGGATTTTGCAAAATCTGAAATGTCTTTCTCCACTTTCTTTTATCTCCGTGAGAATTGGGGGAGTTTCATGTCTGAAATGCTTGTTTTGGTTATGGTTCTGTACCTCGCTCAGTTTCTTTCATCTGGCCAATGTTGTAAGAGCAGCTCTTTCTTACGTTCCTCATTCCTTTTAGGAGGGATGTGAAAATGCTAGGGAAGTGTTAATGTTTTAAAAATATTCCAAAAAAATAAAAAGGAGATAAATGTGCCACTATCTATGGGGATTCTCAGTCATCCAAGTCATGGTTGTTCCAAAGATGATTTTTCAAGAGGCAACTGGACTTTATGGGTTTTTTTTTTGAAGACGTTTCGCTTCTCATTCCAAGAAGCTTCTTCAGCTCTGAATGGATGGTGAGGAATGGAAAAGATTTATACTCCTTGCAGGCAGCTGGACATTTGCATCCTTTTAGAGCAGGGGTGAAATCTAAAAAATTTTCCCTACCGGTTCTGTGGGCGTGGCTTGGGGGGGAGTGTCCTGTGACTGAGTGGGCGTGGCCAACTCATCACTCACAGCCACGCCCACTCAGTCACAAGACTCCCCCCACCAAGCCACGCCCACAGAACCCGGTAGAAAAACTTTTTAAATTTCTATTCTGCCACCCACTTGCCACCCGCTCTCTTTTCGCTTTGGGTCGGGGGCCAGGGATGCGCCATTCCCTGAGGCCCTGGAGCCGCCACCTGCCTCAACCAGCTCGGGGAATGCACCATTCCCCGATACCAGCCTTGCCCCTGAGCCGCTGCCCGCTCTTCTCATCGCCAAGCGGTGTGTCCTTACCTTTCTCCCGTGGCTCCTTCAGGGAAGGCGATCCGGTCTGATCCGGTAACATTTCACCCCTGTTTTAGAGAATTATGGAAGCCTGGATAAAGTGGCCTCAACGATTCTCTAAAAAGGATGCAAATGACCAGCTGTCTGCAAGGAGCATAAATCCTTCCATTCCCCACCATCCAGTCAGAGCTGAAGAAGCTTCCTGGATGAGAAGGGAAACGTCTTCAAGGCAAAACCAGAAAGTCCAGCTGCCTCTTGGAAAAGTACCCTCGGGTGCCACCATTATATGTCCCTTCCCTGTTCTTGCTAGATTTCTAGGTTCTTGAATTCTTATCATTTCTTAGGTTGAAGACGATAAGGTGAACTTCCATTTCATTCTATTTGCCAGCGTGGGTGGACACCTCTATGAACTGGGTAAGTTGCGTGTTTGTGTGTTGACTTTAAAAAGGCCAGTTTTCTAGCTCCAATTATCGCTTTCAGTGCAGAACCGTTCGGCAGTAGCATTTGAGGCAAGCACAATTTTTAAGCACCTATAAATGCCTTGACTTAAGGATCCGTAAAAGGGATGCGGTGGCTCAATGGCTAAGACGCTGAGCTTGTCGATCGAAAGGTCGGCAGTTCAGCGGTTCGAATCCCTAGTGCCGCGTAACAGGGTGAGCTCCCGTGACTTGTCCCAGCTTCTGCCAACCTAGCAGTTTGAAAGCAGGTTAAAAAATGCAAGTAAGAAAATAGAGACCACCTTTGATGGGAAGGTAACAGCGTTCCGTGCGTCTTTGGCGTTGCGTCATGCCGGCCACATGACCACGGAGATGTCTTTGGACAGCGCTGGCTCTTCGGCTTTGAAACAGATCTCCTTTGGAGATATTGCAAGCATTTACTGATTTAATATTTGAATAAATAGAATAGAATTGCATGGCATTGAATTCTTTATTGGCCAAGTGTGATTGGACACACAAGGAATTTATCTTTGGTGCATAAGCTCTCAGTGTACATAAAGAAAAAAAAATAAAATATATTCATCAAGAATCACAAAGAGACAACACTTAGCGATACTCATAGGATACTAAATAAGCAATCAAATCATACTAGGAAACAATAAAAACAATATAAGTTGTAAAGATACAAGCAACATGGATATATCCATGAGTGGGAAGAGATAGGTACTAGTAAGGATGAGAAGAACTACCCTGTTTCTCCAAAAATAAGACATCCCCTGATAATAAGACCAATCCGGCTTTTGAGCGCATGCGCTAAAATAAGCCTCGCCCCGAAAATAAGCCCTCCCCAAAAATATTTAAACACAGAGCTGGAAATCCGGTAAGACGGCAAGAGGAGCCCCATCTTGCTCCATGCACCCCAAAATAATAAGACCTCCCCGAAAATAAGCCCAAGCACTTATTTCAGGGTTCAAAAAAATATAAGACAGGGTCTTATTTTCGGGAAAACACAGTAGTTAATTTGACAGTGTTGTGGGAATGAATTGTTTAGCAGAATGATGGCTTTCGGGAAAAAACTCCTTGTGTCTAGTTGTTCTGGTGTGCAATGCTCTATCTATAGCATCGTTTTGAAGGTAGGAGTTGAAACAATTTATGTCCAGGATGTGTAAATAACAAGGTTGGGAGCTACTACAGGTAGAGATGAAGGACATTCTCTAAAGTAAGCCTCCTAGAAAATGATCCAAGCTACTAATTCCTCTTACACCAGTATTTTCACGCTACTGAAGTTATACGTTCTCCAACCTTGCTTGCAGATGGAAGAATGCCATTCCCTATAAAGCATGGAGCTAGTTCAGATGCCACCATGCTCAAGGTAAGAGTCTTTTCGCTTGTGGTGGGCACCATTTCACTGGCCCTTACAAAATTCCTACAACACGCAACATCCCTGAGTCTGATTCTCAGTCATCCAGGTCATGGTTGTCCCAAAGGGGCTTTTTCAGGAGGCAACTGGATTTTCTGGGGGTTTTTTTCTTTGAAGACTTCTCATCCAAGAAGCTTCTTCAGCTCTGCCTGGTTGGTGGAGAATGGAAGGGTTGATATTCCTTGCAGACAGCTGGTCATTTGCATCCTTTTAGAGGGTCGTTGAGGCCACTTGGAGGTTTCTCTGTGTCCTCAGGGTCACCTGAATGATGCAACTGGTTCCTGTAATCTACAATTTTGTCCTCTGGAGATCCATTTCCTACTCCCACACCATTCCAAGGGTCTTCATCCCAAATTATATAGCTAAAAGTCGGTAGAGATTCTCAGTCATCCAGGTCCCGGTTGTCCCAAAGGTGCATTTTTTTCAAGAGGCAATTGGACTTTCTGGGGTTTTTTTTCTTTTTCTTTTGAAGACGTTTCGCTTCTCCTCCGAAGAAGCTTCTTCAGCTCTTCCATTCCCTACCATCCCGTCAGAGCTGCAGAAGCTTCTCGGAGGAGAAGCGAAACCAGGGGTGAAATCCAGCAGGTTCTGGAGAATCGGTAGCGGAAATTTTGAGTAGTTCAGAGAACCGGTAGTGGAAATGTTGAGTAGTTCAGAGAACCGGCAAATGCCACCTCTGGCTGGCCCCAGAGTGGGGTAGGAACGGGGATTTTGCAATGTCCTTCCCCCCGGAGTGGGGATAGAATGGGGATTTTGCGGTATCCTTCCCCTGCCACGCTTACCAAGCCACGCCACGCCCACAGGGCCAGTAGTAAAAAAATTTGAATTTCACCACTGAGCGAAACGTCTTCAAAAGAAAAAGTAAAAACCAAATAAATAAAATAAAATAAATAAAATAAAATAAATAAAATAAAATAAATTGCATTTCCAAACAGATAGTCTTTGAAGAAATCTTTCATTTTATTAAGCACGACAATCTGGCCCCGATCGTGGCGTAGCCAACTCTGACTTCCTGACCCCAAATCCTCCCTTTCCGTTCCCCAATTCTCTGCGTCTGGTTGGCTTTCTTCCAAATCACCCTCCCCATATCTACTACCTAAGCTCCCAGGAATGTCCCCCCTCCCATCTCATCTCTTAGGGGATATTATCTTCAAGGAAAATAAGTAGGTGAAATGTCAAGCGTCCTCTTGCCAGCTGCCCCTTCTTCTCCTTCTTATGTCAGCACTAGAGTAAATGCAGGTTGAAGTGCTGACAACATCCATGATTCCCTTTCCGGCTTTTTGGGCTGGCGGGAAGGGGAGAGGGGTCAGTTCCACTCAGAGCACCTCACCCAGCTCCCATTTGCACATTGAGTGAAGAGGCATCTCTTTCCCACTAGGTTTCATTGTACAAACTACAGCTTATCTCTTTTTTTCTTTTTCTTTTTTTTAGGCATCGGCTGACATCTGCCGGCAATTCACCGAACGTGAGCAAGGAGAAGTCCGCTTTTCTGCTGTGGCCCTGTGCAAGGCTGCTTAAAATTTGGCAACCAAAATAACATCCTCAGCCTCTCACCGGATGTAATCCCAGCCTTTAAGGCTTTAGCACTTATGTTTAAAACATTGAAAAGAAAAACAAAAGTCAAAAGCCAAGGCGGCTGTTCTTGGTTTTGAATTTAAGGTGTAACGCGATCCTGTTTCCTTTTCCCCCTTCCTGACCTGTCCTAAAGCCGAAATTCACGCAAAAGTGTCTAAGACGTTAAAAACCGTCGGTGTTTGTAAATGCTTCCTAGGCTTTTGTGATTCCCGAGTTTCTTTTGAGCGGTGGTGACTTCTTGTCCGTCACAAGAATAAATTCCTTCTTGCTAGTCCGGAAAACTCTTCTTGGTTATTGACTGCTAAAACTCCGATGATGTAGGCCACGTTTATTATAATCCAACTTTCCCCCCCAGTTTGCATTTCTTGGAGCACCGGTGGCCTGCGTGGATTTATCGGTTCGGCGAACAAATTCAAATTGCTGCTACCAATTCGCCCGAACCGGCTGAATACCACCTCTGATGTGGATATGGCGAATTATCCACAGGGTGGGGTGGGGGCAGTGGTGAAATCCAATATTTTTTACTACCGGTTCTGTGAGCATGGCTTGGTGGGCGTGGTGTGGCTTGGTGGGCATGGCAGGGGAAGGATACTACAAAATCTCCATTCCCACTCCACTCCAGGGGAAGGATACTGCAAAATCCCTATTCCCTTACTACTCCTGGGGGAAGGATATAGCAAAATCTCCATTCCCACCCCACTCTGGGGCCAGCCAGAGGTGGTATTTGCTGGTTCTCCAAACTACTCAAAATTTCCGCTACCGATTCTCTAGAACCTGTCAGGACCTACTGGATTTCACCCCTAGGTGGGGTGGGTATCAAAATACAAAGATCTCCCCGGCTTCATGAAGCTTTTATGTTCTCTCAAATCTTGAAAAGATTCCTTACTTAGATAGATGTATGATTTGGTTATGCAAGATACTATTCAAGTAGGGCAGTGGTATTGAACCTTTGCCCAACTGGACGAAGGACGGGAACTGAACTGTGCATGTGGCGGGTCAGCGCACATACGCACAGTTCAACTTGCACGGCGTGCAAGCACACGAATGCCCCCTGACCCGCTACTTGTGCAAATTTGAGCTGCGTGCAAGCGCTTCCGGCCAGCCACTCGTATGGCCAATTCTGAATAGGCCCCAGTCACAGCATGGGGATTGGGGAGACCGAGATATAGAGTATTACAGAGGCTCTCAAAGAATATCGTGTAATCTGTACTATGTTTCCCCGAAAATAAGACCCTGATTTATATTTTTTTGAACCCTGAAATAAGCGTGTGGCCTTATTGCCATGTGCTCAAAAGCCCGATTGGGCTTATTATCAGGGGATGTCTTATTTTGGGGGAAACAGGGTATCTGTCTGTCTATATCTATCTATCTATCTATCTATCTATCTATCTATCTATCTCTATCTATCTTATCTATCTATCTACCTCTATCTCTTCATCTAATCTATCTCTTTATCTCTATCCATCTTACTATTTATATCTACTATGTTTCCCTGAAAATAAAACCCTGTCTTATATTTTTTTGAACCCTGAAATAATAATAATAATAATAATAATAATAATAATAATAATAATAATAATAATAGTAATAATGGCCATGGGCTCAAAAGCCTGATTGGACTTATCGGGATGTCTTATTTTGGGGGGAACGGTATCTGTCTATGTCTGTCTATATTTATCTCTGTCTGTCTCTCTGTCTAATCTATATCTATCTATCTATCTATCTATCTATCTATCTATCTATCTATCTATCCATCTTACTATTTATCTAGCATCTGTATCTACCGTGTTTCCCCGAAAATAAGACCCTGTCTTATATTTTTTTGAACCCTGAAATAAGTGTGTGGCCTTATTGCCATGCGCTCAAAAGCCGAATTGGGCTTATTATCAGGAGGTCTTATTTTGGGGGAAACAGGGTATCCGTTTATGTCTATATCATCCATCCATCCATCTATCTATCATCTATCAATCCGTCTATTTATCTAGCATCTGTATCTACCGTGTTCCCCCGAAAATAAGACCCTGTCTTATGTTTTTTTGAAGCCTGAAATAAGTGTGTGGCCTTATTGCCATGCACCCAAATCCCAATTGGCTTATTATCAGGAGGTCTTATTTTGGGGGAAACAGGGTAGTGTCTGATCAATATCTGGACCAACGTGGTTCACACAAGCAGATCAATTGGGTATGTCCAGTTTCATGAAAAGAAGGACTACGGGAGACATGATAGCAGTGTTCCAATATCTCAGGGGCTGCCACAAAGAAGAGGGGGTCAAGCTCTTCTCCAAAGCACCTGAGGGCAGGACAAGAAGCAACGGGTGGAAACTCATCAAGGAGAGAAGCAACCTAGAACTAAGGAGAAATTTCCTGAAACTTAGAGCAATTCATCAGTGGAACAACTTGCCTCCAGAAGTTGTGAATGCTCCAACACTGGAAGTTTTTAAGAAGAGATTGGACAACCATTTGTCTGAAGTGGTGTAGGGTTTCCTGCCTAAGCAGGGGGTTGGACTAGAAGACCTCCAAGGTCCCTTCCAACCCTATTATTCTCTTATGGTGTATTGGACTGCGTGCAGAAAATTCCTAAAAACTCAAGAGCTGGAGTTTTACTCGGGCGCTGCAAATTTGTGCAGAATTTGTAGTTCTTGGTAGGGCTGAGATTTGTGAGTTTATTGTGTTGCAGCTAGCGGAGGAATGCCAAGAATCCATAATGGTGTTGTCTCTTTGAAACGGCAAAGAGGCCAACACACAAATCTCATTTCGGTTTTGCTTCTTTGTTTTTCATTAGATTCGTGAGTTTGAAAACAGGTACGGTGGGGTGCAATCAACCTAATTGCACCCCACAATGAAATATACAGTCTTTTGACATGAAGTCACCAGTAACATATTTAAGCAACATTCACAAGCCTTTTGATCGAATCGCAATTTTGGTGCGTGACTAGATGGAGAGAGTTTTTGTGGCTTTTTTATATTTATTTAATTTGTCAACAAGTACAAGGAAACAAGTATCAGTATAGACCAGGGGTCTGCAACCTTAAATACTCAAAAGAGCCATTTGGACCTGTTTCCCACAGAAAAGAAAACACCGGGAGCCACAAAACCTGGGTGGGCGTGGCCAACTTGATGTCACTCACTTCCACCAGTCACATGACCCCCCTAGCCACGCATTTTAGGGTGTGGTGTTAGTGCATTTCTAGGAAATTTATTCTTTGAAATACAAGGGTTCTATTTCTGTTCTGGATTAGACACTTCCAGAAACAACCTCTCCAGAATTCATCCATTGACCCATCCCAAGGATGAAGCTAATACATGACTTGCAACAGTTCCATTTAGTGACCGTTTGAAGTTACAACGGCACTGGAAAAAAGCGATTTGTGACCGCTTTTCACGTCGCGGCCTCCCCAGAGTCATGTGATCAAAATTCAGGCGCTTGGCAGCTGACTCATACTTATGACGGTTGAAGTGTCCCAGGGTCATATGATCACCTTTACGACCTTCAATGCGACAAACAATGAGGAAGCCAGATTTCACTTTACAACTGTGCCAGAAATTAAATGAGTTACTCTTGAGCGTATTTATTTTGCACCTAGCTAGATGGCGGTACTTAGCCAGTTTTGATTATCTTCAAAAGCTAAACCTGGTCAAGAGTTGGTTAGTGCTTGGATGGAAGACAAAATCCTGGGAGTCAAAAAACATTCTGGAAAAAGGTGACAACAAACCATTTCTGTTTTGCTGCCAGAAAAAAAACAACATGGACTTCTCTCAAGTCACCAGGAGTTGAGTTGGACTTGACACTTATATCAATTCGTTGCTTGGCAGTGTCATAAATATGGAAGGAGATCACCCTATCAAAGATGGCTTAGGGGTTGGTTTTTTTAATACTTTGTTTTACTCACTAGATGGCAGATGTGAAGTATTTTTCAGAATCTTCTCAATGTGAGCAAAAATCACTAGACAAAATAACAAGATATAGGAGAACCTAATACTTTTATAGGAAAAAAGGGATGCGGTGGCTCAGTGGCTAAGACGCTGAGCTTGTCGATTGAAAGGTCGGCAGTTCAGCGGTTCGAATCCCTAGTGCCGCGTAACGGGGTGAGCTCCCGTGACTTGTCCCAGCTTCTGCTAACCTAGCAGTTCGAAAGCAGGTGAAAAATGCAAGTAGAAAAATAGGGGCCACCTTTGGTGGGAAGGTAACAGCGTTCCGTGCACCTTTGGCGTTGAGTCATGCCAGCCACATGACCACGGAAACGTCTTCGGACAGCATTGGCTCTTCGGCTTTGAAACGGAGATGAGCACCGCCCCCTAGAGTCAGGAACGACTAGCACCTATGTGCGAGGGGAACCCTTACCTTTAGAATAGAATAGAATAGAATTTTTTATTGGCCAAGTGTGATTGGACACACATGGAATTTGTCTTGGTGTGTATACGCTCTCATACCTTTAATACTATAGGACGCGTATGATGGAAATATATAATGAATTGTGTGAGGTTTGAGGAATTCGAGAAATGATATTTAAGTTATAGGTTCCAATTTAAAATATATTGGTTCGTGAAAATGGAATGAGTGTTATATATATATTAATATATATTAATTGTGGGCCAAAGTATTTAATCTGGTTTTAAATTGTTTTTAACTTTTATATTTATGTATTTGATCTTGGCTGTTCACCGCCCTGAGTCCTTCGGGAGAAGGGCGGTATATAAATATAATAAATAAATAAATAAAATTAATTAATTAATATCTAGGTCATTTATCCAATTGTGCATTATTTATTAGTTGGGGGAAATCTGCTTTTCCTCTTGTATAAACTCTCAAATTGCAGCTAGTCACTATATGATCATATGTGTGTGTGTGTGTGTGTCTAACATATATATGTGTGTGAACCAGTGTTGAAATTCAAATTTTTTTACTACTAGTTCTGTGGGCGTGGCTTGGTGGGCATGGCAGGGAAAGGATACTGCAAAATCTCCATTCCCACCCCACTCTGGGGCCAGCCAGAGGTGGTATTTGCCGGTTCTCGGAACTGCTCAAAATTTCCACTACCGGTTCTCCAGAACCTGTCAGAACCTGCTGGATTTCACCCCTGGTGTGAACAGATATGTACATGTGTGTATAATAATATATACACACACAAACACAGATAGATAAGAGATAAAATAGATAGATAGATAGATAGATAGATAGATAGATAGATAGATAGATAGATAGTTGTTTTCTGAGGTTTTCGCGGGTGTTTGTATGTAGGTCTTTGGTTATTCGGCTTTTCTCCCGCGTAAAATTGGAGGTG